GTTTTTTTTAGTTCTACAAATTTATATGACTATACAGACTTATTTTAAGTTTGCATTATCTGATATTAGTTTGCATCTTTTTGTATAACCAAAGTTATACAAATGTATATACAGTAGCTTGTCAGTTATATTAGTATAACTATAGTTGCAAGTATTTTATCTCAATTGATCAATAAAATGTTGTTATTATAATAGAATATATTGCACAAATGATTGCTTAAATTTTTATTATTAGTAGGTTTTGAACTTATAACCTATTAATTAGAAAGTTAACAACTTATTCACTTTACTAAGTTATTATATTTTATTTTTAAAAGTTTTATTTTTACTTAGTATATTTAATTTAATTAATTAAATAGTTTTTTTTTTTTAAGATAATCTTTTTGATCTTTTGATTTTTATTAATAACTTTTTTGATAATATGATTCTATGAACTAATACAGAAAAAGTATACAATTAGTTATATATATAACTTTTCTAATTACTTATTTAAAAAGTTTGCTCAAAGGTTTTTTACTAATTGCTATATCTAACACTTCTGCTTAAGTGTTTTATTTTAAACTTTTTAAATCTAAACCTGTGTTAATATTATTAAATTATGTTTAGATTATCATTTTAACTTTAAAACTATTTTATTCTTAAAGTAAACTTTTCAAAGCTTTCTATACCTATTTTTATAGCTGATTTAAATATCACTATAGCAAAACTAATACTTGTAGTTAGAGTTATATTATTTAACTATTATGCTTTTATAAAATTTACTCAAACCTTGATAACTACTTTATAGTATATCTTTAGTACTTTGATATATATCTGTTTGTTTTTCAAAATTCAATTCAAATAGTTTATATAGAATTACAATTAGTCTATCAATATATCAGATTAGTCTAGTATTCTTTTTCTCTAGTTCATTTTGGCAGTTTAGTTAGTAGTACACTTATTTAGAAATTCTTACCCATCTGAGTACTTTAATATTGGTATCTGTTTTTTAGATCTAGTCTTTATAGTAACATTATTAAAAATCTGTATTATTTTTCTATTTAAGTTTTCTTAAATAGACTTTTTGTTTTCTAATTTTAATAAATTTATACAGTTACAAAAACTTAATTAAAGTTTGTATTACCTGATATTAGTTTGTATTTTTTTGTATAATTAGTTATACAGATGTTTTATAATCTGTTAGTTATGCTAATATAATTATTATTACAAGTATCTTAACTTAATTATTAAAAACAGTTACTATAATATGAGTATTATATAAATAATTATCTAAATTTTTATTGTCAATGTAATTTAAATATTTAATCTATTACTTGAAAGATTAATAATTTATTCACTTCACTAAGTCACTATATTTCTCTAATTATTTTTTTTTGTTATTAAAAATTATATTTTATAACAGATTTTTATTAATATATTAGAATTAATTATTATAACTATTTTTATAGTAATAAAGTATTACTAATTATATATAAAATTTTGATTGTCTATTTTAAGTAGTTTATTCTAAGATTTTATATTAAATGCTATATTTATAATCTACTAAAAGATTATTTATTTAAACTTTCTAATTATCTGTCATATTAATTATTTTTAATAGTTACAAATTTTTATACATATATATCTTTTTTTATATATACTATTTAGATAATATATACTTTTTATTTCTGTACTAGTATACAAACTACTTCTTATTGAAAAGTTATTTGCTAGTAAGGCTCAGAATATCTTTCTTGTTAACTAACTTATTTATTTTATAAATTATTAACAAACTATATTTTTGTAAAATTTATTTAAATCTTAACATCTATTTTATAGTATATTTTTAATATTTTAATATATTTTTGCTTTGTTTTCAGACTTTAAATCTAAATAACTTAGAAGAACTGTAACTTGTTTTTAATATACTACATCTAAATATTTTTTTTCTTTAGTTTAAACTTAGTAGTCTAACTGTAGTACTTCTTATTTAAAAGTTTTTGCTTATCTGATTTTTTAGATTAATATATATTTTTTAAATTTAATCTTTATAGTAGTATTATTAAAAATCTATATTATTTTTTTATTTAATTTTTTTAAATAGAATTTTGTTTTTTTAATTTTACAGATTTATATAACTATAAGCTTATTTTAAGTTTGCATTATTTAGTATTAGTTTGCATTTTTTTGTAAAACTAAAATTATATAAAAACTTATAATCTGTTAATTATATTAATATAATTATAGTTACAGATATTTTATTCTAATTAATTAATAAAAAACTATTACTATAATACAGATATGTTTTTTAAATTTTTACTTTTAATAAGTTTTAAACTTACAACTTGCTATTTGCAAAAGTGCTAAATTTTTTACTTTACTAAATTATTATATCTTAATTAAATAATTTTTAAAATATAATAATTATAATGTTAAATATTTATAATATATTTTAAAAATGTTATTTTATACTAACAGATTATTATAATGAACTTTATATAATTGATTAATTAAAATTAAGCATGTAATTATATAGTAAGCTTTTTACTATTAACTAACTAAAATTAGTTACAAGTTTTCTAAATTTTATAATAAATAATAAATAATAAAAAATAAATTTTACCAATTCTAAGTATGATTGGTTGCTATATATAAAATTATTATAATAACAAATTATTATTTATAATTTTTCATATTTTAATAATATTATTTATATAATAAATTTATTTACTATTAATAATAACAAATATAAACCAATAGACTTATATAATTTAAATAATTTAAATAATTTTTAAATTAAAATAATTTAAAATATTATTATTATTAGCAACAAGTAAAATTTTTAATATATAATACATAAATAAATATATTAAATAACCAAAAATATAAATACATAATAAAAAATCACAAGTATTATATATAATTTCTTAAAAGATTGTTAAATAGTCTAACCTCTGCGTACAATTTTATTGTTGTAAAAATTTCTAAAAACAAAATATATATAAGTTAGATGCTAAGGAAAAAAACAAAACTGCCAATTTTTTTAAAAACTGTTTTTTTATATAAATCAATTTAAAATAAGATTAGAATCGTTTTTTACTTAAGACGCAAAAGTAGTTGTGTTAATAAAATTCTGCAATATAGTTCCTTAAGGTTTCATTTTCTTATGATTTATTATGATGTTCTGAAAATTTTTTTTTTGTCAATTTCGCCTCTTTTCTTAGCACCGGATACGTATCATTTCATCGACGATCACTTCACCGAACACCCTATCACACAGCGTAATGAGTAATATTGAACAATAATTATTAATCATCAAACAATCGTTAATTATTAACCATCGCTCTGTGCAATGGGGTGTTCGGCGAAGCGATTGTCGATGAAATGATACGTATCCCTTAGCACCTAGCCCATATATGACAAAACAGCATGACGCACTTAATTGAAAATCGGTTAATATTTAAGTTAAACTGGATTGAATTTAAACTAAACTAAATTTAATCGATTTGTATGCAGTGCATATCTTTTGATCTTATTGGTTAATCAGCAATAATTCTGATTGGCCAAAAAATTCATGTTACCTCCGGCACTTCTTTTTATGATAAACCCGAATTTTTTTAATTCTAAAACTGGCTTATCATAATCTGAGTTTTACAACCGATTTAGATTTAGATTATATAAAACCGATTTAGTACGTATTATAGCTGTTCTTATAAATTCTGAGACAAATTAAAAATTTTCTCGTTACCCAAAATCTTTTCGGTTTCTTCCTGTAAATGATCTAACTCCGGAAATTACATCGCTATCTCCGGATTAAAGGTTCAAAGACAGCGACGTAGTTTCCGGAGGAAATAACCGAAACGATTTTGGGTAGCGAGAAAATTTTAATCTATCCCAGAGTTTATAACTAATCGACCATAGGGATAAGTAGCGTAACCTGACATAGATTACGAACGTGCACTGCCATAAATTATTTTGCAATGGACGGATGGATTACTTGAATGCAAACTTAAAACACATCGGAAATTAGCCATCCTCGAACCAAATTATTTATTTCAGAATTTAAAGCATCACAAGTGTCACAAGAATATTTTTCCGACACACGCATTGTAATTTACACGAATGATTTTTGAGGATAATTGCATGCTTAGAGAATCTGTAATTCTATTGTGTATGCATGTTTATTACACATAATTGATTGACGAGATAATCTCAACAATTGGCTACCCGTTTTAAAATAGAATTTAAAATTTACTTGTGCAGATCTGAATTCTATTGAAAATACTTGTCGTGATATTGATATTCTCAGGGTGAAAGTATAGTGATTTTCACAAGAAATTTGCTTGTGAAGGATTTTCTAGAGAAGTTAGATTATACATATATATATTTCTTTTTTCACTAAACGGAACTTTAAAGTAAAAAAAGAAAAAAACTAAAGGAAAAAAAGTGACAATGTATTTATTGGTTTCTCTATTTGGCAAGGAAAGTGTTTCAGTCTGTCAAATGAATAGCCAATAAAATATTAAGTTCTTAACATGAATTAGAGCTTCATGAAAATAACCAATAACTAGTCAATAGTTTTATTATTTATTTTTGATACCGGGTATTTATGCAAATATCTCTCAACAAATGAACCAACACCGGTTTAAATAGACCTAAAAAGAATAAAATTTATACTTGTAGATAAAAAAATGGTAAAAATAGATTATTATGATTTACATGTTACATTCAAGATTTCGCTCATGCGAATTTGACGAACGCTAAATGGACGATGGAAAAAAAGCAATCTAGTCAATTGCAGTTTTGTCGCACCGCAGTGCCGAGGTTGTGCATGGGTATGATTTGGTGGTATTACAATATTACACGTTTATTTATATTTATTTTCCTCTTTTTCAACCTTAGAATTTGTGTTTTTCCCTTTCTTAAATATAAATATTACCAGTCCTTAGACCATCTATTCCAACGCCTTCAAAGAATCCCGAGAATATCATTGTTCACCTGTCGTCCTATTTCAACGATAGATGTCATCAGTTAAAAAGCACAAACAAGAATCGAAAAATCAACGCAGTTTTCGTGAACGCCTTCGTAGTTTAGAAGATAAGGCAAAAATGTATGAAAAAGCGTATGTAGATTCCCAGAATGAGAATAAATTGTTAAAAGAGGAGGTTGAAATATTGAAGAGGCGCCTCTCTAGGTTTGAAAAAAGCATTGGATTTGAGGGTTCTAGTGCTGTTAGCACAACGATATACGCGGCCCAAAATATGATTGAAGAAAGCCAAATGAATAATCAAATTCATCATGGTACTGATGACGTTATTATAAATGATGAAACAATCGAGACAAATTAAAAAGCATCTGTGTAGAGTGGGAGCGTATCACATGATTTCCGACCTATAATCCTCCAGAAAACCTCCGAATTTTTGGAATTTTTTAAATCGTTTGTTCTGTCTTTTCTCCCCTCTTTTTTAAGACTTGAATGTTTGGGAAATTGAATTTAATCAAAATTTAAAATTCAGTCTAAACTTATCACCTTCAATCAAAAATTCATTTATACATTTGTATAAGTTTTGTAAGATTCAAATCAGTACGCCAAAGAAACAAATTATAAATTATGAATAAGGAGTAAAATCTCTTATAATAAATATATACATTATAAAATAATGTTTCTCTTACTTATTAATCATGCTTGAACGACATGATACATTAAACTCATGTGATTTTGCACGTGCAGATAGCTCGGCGAACTATTGGTAGCCTAATTTTCTTTTGAAAATTTTTAATACCATATAACAAATCAAAATGCTGGTCAAGATATTACTTTGTTTGGTTTTTTCTTTTATTTATTTATTTTTTTTTAAATAAAATTAATTAGGATGTTATATATATATTTAGCTTTTGCTAATGAATTTAATACTTTCTGTTGTAAAACTTTTAGTATACGTACGTACGTATTTATTAGTATGCGTTACCGACTCAGACCATTGATGAAAATATAAATATGTAAATTCCTACGTACATGTGTAGGTGCATATTCTTGTTAATAAGTCGACGATTTTAGTCGACTTCAAACACTAACTACAGTACCCTACATGACAAATTAATGTACGTAGGTCAATTTTTTAAAATATGCAGGATGCGCATGATCTTTAAATTTTTATTAAAGAAATTGGTGTCGTCTTGGTGCCACTTGGGTGGTAAATAATAAATAATTTACCTAAATCAATTACTATTTGGGGTGACAATAAATTATTCATCACCCCAGTGACACAAAGATTTTTTATTTGGAAATTATTAGCCAATCAGAATGCACAATTTGGTGTAACACATATAACGTGCTTTGTAATTTAACTTTCCGACTAATATGTTTTTCTGGCTGTCTATTGTCTACGTAGTGATGGGATAACTTACCTGACAATGTAACTTACATCGTACTTACCAATATATAATAATAAAGTCGGCCAAGATTATAATAAAGTTGGCTAGCATTAAGACATAATAAAGCAGTTATCCTGATCAATAGTTGCATAGGTTACAGATTATATAACTATATTCCTACTCTCTTATTAATTATATTACTAGCATTTATAAGCACTAAATCTCGAAGACAATAATTAACACTAAATACCAAAGACAATAATCAATATTTTTATATGAACCGCTAAAAATAGGATAGAATTATTGATTAGTACTTATATATTTATAACGAAAGCAGTAATCTTTTAACATATGCTAACTTATACGTATTCAAGTGAATGAACATTTAAAAAACTTATTAATTATATGATTTAATAAAACACAGATTAACTTTATGTTTAGTAAATATAAATACTATGAAAGCTATAATGTTTATTTTTTAAATACGACTTTTATTAAAGCCATCAAATAATAATATTGAAATAATAATATAAACTAAATTTTGCCTTCTCAAACAAAATTCTTCGCAAAAAATCAAAAAAAATAATGCTTTATATTAATGATCTATTTATATTTCCAGATCACGTATATCGGCTATGCTATTTATATTATCTCTACTATCTGTATCATCCATATTACCTAAACTATTCATATTATCTACATGATAAATTTCCATATTATCAATATCAACGTAATCTATATCATTTATATTCGACAAATTATATTCTTGTGAAAAAGAAACTTTCTTCTATCAATTCATCTATTTCTAAATCATTTTCTTGTATTGATTCTTTTTCAATTGTTTTTGAATTATCCTCAATTAAATACCTTTTTGTTTTTAATTCATTAACTGAAATTGGCTATTTTAATAAATGTAAAGCCTGTAGATTTCAGTAAATATATAAAATCTTTTCTACACGAGGATTAAGTAAGCAATTACATAACTTTGTATGAACAAAATTAAAGGCTGATCAGTTTTGTTCACTGGCAGCTGAAGTTGCAAGTATTGAGAGTAATTTTAATGCAATTTCACTCAATACTGAATATTATGTTTTAACTAAATTCCACCAATATGTGGTTTTTCTTTTAATGTACCTTACAAATAGCTAGTCAAAAATCCATCACTTTTTCTTACAAACTTAGCAAATTTTTCTAAAACTTGTTTCTTATTATCTGGCTTAACAAGACATATAATCTATCTTTCTATTAAAACATCTTATTTATGTAAATCTAAAATTTTTCTACAATATCTTGAATCTAATTTATATGTAGCTATAGTTGCTAGATTATACAAAAAATTATTTTATTATCATTCTACTAATTTTATACTTTCTACAATTACTGAATTTGAAATACAGATATTGTTATATGCTATTATTTCTAATTGCTGTAATTTAAAAAATGCAAATAATAAAATAGTACATCTCTTTTTAATTCATAGATAAATTTAATGAATTGTTCAAAAAAATTATAGAGAAGTTTAAGATTTTGTCAAAATTGATTATTCATTATATAAAGTTTGATATTATAATTAATATTTATACTGTTTTCAATTAATAATAAATAAATAGCATTTTTTATTTGTAATAAATAATTTATATAATAAAATGCTAATTCTCAATATATATCTTCTAGTGTTATAGGATTGCAACTTTTTTAATACAAAACAATCAAGTAATAAAATTATCTAGTACAATGATTAACTATTGCAAATATATATAAGGTAAAGATATAGTAGTTTACTTTACTATACAGTAGCAAGCAAATGGTTTGATATAATAACAATATATATATTAACTTTATTAAACAAATATACAGTAACAACTTTGCTTATAGAAATTATTCTAAAAGGAGAATATTATTTTTACAAGTTAAAAGTAAAGGTAGGAAGGTCTAGATCAAAATATAGAAACTTAGAATTAGCAAAGAAGAGAAAAAGATACTCTTTATATATATTTTTATTTAGCAAGAATAGTAAAAATTTGAGTAACATTACTTGATACTGTACTCAAGATAATAAAGATTCAAATAATATTAGATATCATTATACTTAGAAATAGTAAAGATTTGAACAATATTAAATAATACTTGATATTGTATTCAAGATAATAGAGATTCAAACAACATTAGATATTATTGTATTTAGAATAGTGAAGGTTTGAATAACATTAAATAATACTATGCTTAAGATAGTAAAGATTGTACAGAAACAACTAGAAATATTGTTTATATTATTTGTTATTTGTATTTAAACCACTTGGAGCTTGTATTTAGATATTTAGATTTGTGCAAAGATACTTGAGATTTGTACAGAAATACTTGAAGTTTGTATAAGGACACTTGGGATTTATATTAGGAATACTTAGGATTTTTGTGCTATGATATCCGATACAGTAATTTGGTACTAAGGTTTGTAAGACAATAATAATATCATAGATGTTACTTAGTGTTATATGGCTATATCACATTTCTAATAGCTAATTAAGATTCTTTTATCTATTTATTATATAATATAACTATTAGTTAACTAATAATTAATAATAAATATAATATATAAAATACAATAATGAATATATATATAACTATTAATACTATTATATAATATACTATACTAAAATATACTTTGTAACATTAATAATACCAAGATAATTATATTTTTATATTTTTTAATTTGAAGTTAACAAAATGCTAATAATAGTATAAAATGGAATCAAAAATAATTAATAATTTCTTTAGCAATATTATATATATTTTTTGAGTATTCTAATTTTAAAATATCTTTTATTTATAAATTGATTCTATGAGTTCAGTATCTTAAAAATATTTTTATTAGATATTTGGTTTTAAAAATATATTAAGCAATTTTTATATTTGCAATATTATTAATAATAACAGTTACAAACTTGTTGATATTAAGCTCTTGTATTACTTTTTAATTCCTTCTGCAATATTTTTTGCTATATAATGTTTTTTTTTAGTATATATAGATTTATAAAAAAAAGTTTAGTCATTATAATTATAAAATTAATAATAAAGTCTTTATGAATATTTAACCAATTATCAGTTATAAGACAAAAAAAAGATTTTTTATTAAATAAATAATTAACTACAATATTTATATTATTATACTCTTTATTAAAAAATAAATTTAAAAAAGATTTTTATAAAAGCAATTTAAAATATAGACATGTTTTTGTAAAAAAAGCTTTTATATTCTTATTTTCTATAATATCAAAAAAAATACTAGCAGAATAAAACTCATGTATTAGTAAACTTTTTAGCTTTTTTTGATTATTTTTAGTAAACTTATATAAGTAATTTTCTATTGACAATTGTTGTTTGTGTTTTATAATTTGTATATTATTATTATTTATAATAAAAAGCATTGTTTCTTTATTTAAATTTTTTAAAACATATTAGTTATAATAATCTTGCATTTGTAACTTATTCTTAATTTATATATTATTACATATTTTGCATTTTCATTATTCTTTTTTATTTTAATTAATTTTATCAAATCTGTTTCAAAAATCTTCTTTTTGTTATAGTATGAATTTGTTATTAAAAGAAATTAAAAAAATTGCTTATACATTTATAGTCTTAGAGATTTATTGATAAATATATATACCACTAACAAATAAAAAATATATAACAAATTAGTACTTAAAAATTTAAAGATGTTCAAATAATATTACAAAATAGAGATTGTATTTTAAAAATTATTTTAGACTTAGATTTTTTTAGTAGGCTTATTAATAAAATATTTTTGTATAAAGTATCAGCTCTAATACTAACATATTTTTATAAAGAAAAATACTACCTTTATTTATAAAAATTATATACAAAAAAAAAAGTATTTCAAGTTTCTTTTACTACAATTTTAACACAGTTTTTTTTATTAAATATAAGTTATATTTACTTTTTTTTATTTAAA